GCACTAGCTCTCTTCCAACCTACTACATCACAAAACATAGCTCGTCTAGGCAGTCGGTGCTGGTATGCGTAACAAGTCCCAAACATTTCAACTGATGATGATTCACCACTTCATAAATTGATTTGTCATCCCCATCAATTACTATTTTCCTGACAACTTCATGCTTTTAAATACAATACTTTAATCATCTGACGTTTCAGGAGTTGGCCTTCTGCCAGGAAAATGACTTTTTGACTTACAATATACCGATGACGTAGTTCTGTTTAGTGAAAAAGCTGTTGAAAGTCGGTCTTCTGACCACAACAAGCGACAATACAGATATGTCGGGGATGCGATTCTCCCCCCTGGAAATGCAAGATATTGCTTCAGGATTGGCTTGCACCGTCGTCAGCCTAACTACTGATAGGGAGTGAAGTAGTTGAGCGTGTTGACCGCTTCACTTATCTCTGGTGTCTAATCAGTGCTAATGGCCTGGTGACTGACGAGATTTCATCACGGATACAGAACGCCCGACTGGCCTTTGCCAACTTTCATCGTTTTTGGCGTAGAAGAGATATCCGTGTTTTGGAGACACAGTCTACATCGATGGCACGGGATTGCAGAGTGCTAGCTAATGAAGCTTGTTGTCCTATTTGACACAATGTCCGGACATTAAAAGCTGCGACATGTAGTTTTGAATGCGGTTTCAGGAGACCGGGAATAAGGATTCGTGAACTCGAGTCGTTTGCATTAGCGGCACAGGGTGATAAAGGAATGTGAGAGGGGCTAGTCGTAGAAATAAGAAAGATGTTAGGAGGTGTAGAAAGGATTTGATTGTGACTGGTTCGGTCTCGTGTGTTGTTACGAGTATGAGGCCGGATGTCAGTTCCCGGTTGCCCATACCGTAGAAGGGTGTTTGTGAAGGGATCTGAAAATGAAGTTTGATTAGTGTTGGTGTTAACGACCTGAGAGCCTGACCGCAGAGCCCCAGAGGACGACTGCTTGAGAGCGATAACGCATGGCCTTTTTATGGGACGTAAGTATTTACTCCGCTGTTTTTGAAAGGCTTTATGTCCGCAGACAGAGATCCGTGTAGTAAAGTGAGGTGTGGCATTTTTACGGTCGACCTTTTCAAATCCTTTCGTTCCTTGTGAGAAGGCAGCGTTGCTGCAGATGCTGGTTGCTCGTCAGTCACCTTCCATCAACACTGATGAGACTCCCGAGATATGTGAAGCGGTCGACATGCTCAACTGCTTCACTCCCTATAACTAGTCCAGGTGCCGATACAAGCCAACCCTGAAGCAACATTTTGCTTTTCAAAGGGGAGAATCGCATCCCGAACATGGACAGCCCTGACGGACACCACTTGAAGTAGAGAATTCCGATGACAGTTCTCCATAGGCTCTCACTCGATCAGTGGTATTCGAGTAGAGAGCTTGTATAAGGTTACTGAACTTCTTTGGTACACCTTTTAATAACAGACACTGCCACAGAACCTCACGATCAACGGAGTTGAATGACACTTTAGTTTCGAGAAATATTACTATTGTAGGGCGTCTGAAAGTGTCTAGATTTTAGGACCTGTCGTAGTGTAAAAATATAGTCTATACACCCACGTCCAGCACTAAAACCAGCCTGGTTTTCTCTAGTCTGCTCTTCACGAGCTTTCGTTAAACGTCGAAGTATTATTGAGGCCAACATTTTCGATACTATATTAGTTAGACTTATTCCCCTGTGATTGTCACAAGTGGACTTCTGTCCTTTCTTATAGATTGGGACAATCAAGGATTGAGACCAGTCGGATGGGATTGCGTCCAGTTCCCAGATTCTACCTAAGATCTCAGTCAACCTAGCTGATAAAACTGGACCACCATCCTTAAATATCTCAGGGGTCAGTCTATCAGGACCTGCAGCTCGTCCTCGTTTCAGATTTCCTAACGCTTTCTCAACTTCATTAATACTAGGGGGACTTAGGTCGATTTGCCATTCAGGATGACTGGAGATCGTGGGTAACCGAAGTGTGGATAAAGGCCAGTTGAACTGATCCCTAAAGTGTTCTGCCCATCTATCCAATCTCCTGGATTGACAATGAGTAATAGTCCCATCCTTTTCCGAGATAGTCTCACTTACAGTAGGATTCCTAACACCAGTTTCCTTGATAAGTCGGAGAAGTTGTCTCGTGTTGCCTATTGCCGCTGCCTTTTCCATCACTTTTGCTTTCACCATCCACCACTGTTCGCGGTCATTGCGTAGGCATTTTATCAGCCTGTGACTAAGTTGACTTCGTTCTTTATCATGTTCAGAGCCAGGTCTGATGAGCTTTCGAGCATCCATCAGTTCCGTATATGCTATTGAGATCCACGGCTTGATTCTAACCTTATGGTTTACCTTCCTTGCAGATATCACTGCTGTTTCCACAGCATTTTTGACATCATTCCGAGCTACCTCAGGATGGAAATTACTTACATTACCACCTAACCTTTCTAGTTGCTCCTGAAATTTGTTCTTGGCTCTGCTATCACTATGTAGAACCCTAAGAGGTTTCCTTGCAGTGTCTTGCCTACGTCCAGTAAGCCCCAAACAGATACGCGCTCACACTAGGGCATGATCTGAATCTAAACATGTGCCCCAGAACGAGCGACAGTCATCTATCGAACCCATCCATCGGTGGCTGATGGCGATGTGATCAAGTTGGGTCCATTGTTGAGACGACTATTGGGGTCGCCAGGTCAAGAGATGCTTCTCCTTGTGCTCAAAGTTAGTGGTTGCTAGAAATAGGCAGTTATCTGAGCATAGTTGCAACAGACGGTCGCCATTGTCTGTTCTCTGAGCCGCGACACCATAAGATCCACCCAAGTGTCTTTCCTTTTCACTTAGTCTACCTACTTGAGCATTAAAGTCACCAGCTATTATGACTAAATCAGAGCGTCTAACATTTTGGCGCAGGTCCGAAAGCTTTCTGTAAAACTCATCCTTAACCTCGTCTGAGCTGCAGTCAGTGGGAGCGTAGGCAGATACGACGAAGAGGCAACGTCGAGTGTCCCTATCCTTCCGAGTCCTTACTGTCCCGTTCAGTCGGACAGCGCACAAGCGACTATCTACTGGGATCCAGTCAAGGAGAGGTTGTTCAGCTCTACGACTCAATGCTATGCCTACGCCAGCAAGACCCCTGAAAGCAGCATCAGGGCTACCGGATACGCGAAGAGTAAATCGAGCTGCTTCTTTATTTTGACAAGTTGAAATCAGATTAATGATTTTACAAGGATCCTGTATGCGCGTTTCCGAGATGCAGCATACATCGATGGCGCGAGATTCTAAAGTCCTAGCTAAGGAAGCCTGTTACCCTATTTGACACAATCTCCGCACATTAAATGCTCCAACATGTAATTTAGAACGTGGTTTCAGGAGACCAGGAATAACGTTTCGGGAACTCGAATCGTTTACAGCAGAGGTGCTGCGTGATGAAGAAATGTGAGAAGAATTAGTCGTGAAGGATTTAATTTTGACCAATTTGATCTCGTGTGCTGTTATGGGTATGATGGCGGTTGTCACTTCCCGTCTGCCTATACCGTGGAAGGGTATTTCTTGAGGAACCTGAAAAAGAAGGTAGATGAGTGTTGGTCCTAACAACCTGTGAGCGTGTTTGCAGAGCCCAAGGAACAACTGCTTAAGGCCAGTCACGCATGGCCTTTTTATCAAATGTTTTTTGAGGATTAGCTCCGTTCTTAAAGGCCCTTAGTGGGCACCCTTACCCAAGGAGACGGAAATCCGTGAGTTAGGGGAGGTGTGACATTTTTAGGGCCGACCTTTTCTAACCCTTCCTTCCTTGTGAGAAGGCAGCATCGCTGCAGATGCTGGTTGTCCGAGGGAAACACCTTACTGCTGTCACACCCCTCTGCAGTCAGCAGTACGACTTCGCCCTCAGACCTTGGGTAGCTGCTTTTAGTCTCATCGTTCTCCAATCGACCTGCCTGGCATGGTAGAACCTTGAGGAACATATGTTCCAGCCAGTATAGCTCGGTTGGGTCATCACGATAGGCAAGCCCGACCACCACGTCAAGGTAGCAGCTACGGTCGGACTTACTCTTAATTGATGTAAATAATCTAAAAGTTGCTGTTTTCATATAATTATTTTGATTTATTTTGGTGATCAAATAAACAAATGCGTATCCGTTATCTTGGTGTTCCTGCTTGCTTGTGTTTCCCAATCCACTCATTTGATGTTGAAGTATCAATGTTTAGGTAAAAACAGAACTCTCCCTATTTATCGCTTCTTTGAATTTTTATATTTGATTTCTGCGTCCCTCTGTGTTGTAGTATTGTAATATTGACAGATTTATTTCTTTTCCAAAATTCACTGTTTTGCATGCATATTTATACTGTTACTGATTTTTGTATAAATAAATGAAAAAATGAGTCTTTTATTTTGGGTTTGTGCAGAATTTACAAGACCATCAATCTGTTCTACAAACACGTGTGGAAAAACTTCAGGTGAAGCTAAAGTTTACAGAAACTGAAAATATTTCTCTAAATGAAGAAATCAAAAGTATGTTTTATCTGTTTTTAATTAATGAATCATATCAAAGATTTGTATATTATTAGGATATTCATCAAATATCCTAAAATAATTATTGGTCATTTCCTATTGGTTAATTCCTATCAATGTCACGTACTCCAACGTTTTTTCTTATTGGTCGTCCTGACTATCAGTATCACTTCAAATGTTGTTTCCTATTGGTCGACTTAACTGTCAATGTCACGGACTTTGATGCTGTTTCATATTCGACCAAAATGTATAAATACGCATTATGTGTAACGTTTTATGACCCGGTCCCAGATCCCTAGTCCGGAATCGGGATTCTCTTCTGGACTTGGACCTCGTACTTTGTGGATGCTTGCAAAATGCATGTTTTACTTCATAAAAAACCTTTCATTCAATGTTGGTTGGGATAATCGGATTGAGTAGCATGTCGTGTGGCCGGATCCTCGATCCTCGCTCTTGTATCCCGACTAAGATAAATTCATAATAGTTCAAGTCTATCTAAAATGACGTGTTTACGTGCATGCGTATATATCTATATATAGCTGAGGACAGGAACTTTTTATGAGATCCCGGTTTAGTTTTTTTTATCACATATTTAAAGGTCAAAATATTTTTATCTGTGATAGATATTTCTTCTGTGTTTCTCACGGAGCTGCTTATAGCGAAAAAGTATTATGCTTCTTCATTCAGATACAATTCGTACTATTCTTTCTTCCGTTTTTTTCTCCATAAGTTCATCACTTGATTTGTGTGGCATGTTTTATTATACAGTCAGTCAGTCAGCCAGTAGAGCGTGGAACTTCGTACGTGTACGTACATCAGTTCAGGTTGCCATACCACATTAGCACAGAGACACAATGGTCGATTCAAATCCCTTAGTGCTACAAATCGTAGACGTATTAGCAGTAATAATAAAGATTAGGGTTCAGAGATATAATTCGAGAAGTATAATTTAGTGAGATAAGTTTAGAAAGACAAAAGTAGAGGTGTTGACGAATTCACAAGATTAGAATTTGAGAGAACAGAAAGAGTGGATGCACTTGCGTCATTGCAATCGATTTTGAGCCATGTCATTCAATGTCCACAACCGTTGGTCACTTTCGTCTCGCGGACCCTAACCAGGTTATTTACATCTACCAACATGACTCAGTCCACTTGTTAGTGACTTCATGCATTTCTGCCATGTTTTGGTTTGACCGCCCCTAGCTTTCTTCCAATATACTTCTTCACCACACAGGATAGCTCGTCGAGGCAGTCGGTAGTTGGGCATACGTATCACATGTCCCGACCACTTCAACTGATGGAGTTTCACTACTTCATCTATTGATCTGCCATCCTTACCTAGTACTCGGCTCCTAATGGCAGCATCGCTTACTCGATAGTCTCAGAATATACGAGCAATGCTTCTAAGACATCTATTATATCTTTATCTACGAAATGGTATTTGTTGATCATAAACGAAATCAGATGATGTAGTACATTCCTTTTTTGTAATAGTGTTTGTTGGACCCCACCACCACTACCTGTTGGAATGTTAAGAAGGTATTACTTCTTTAATCTCCTTTTAATTGCTTTCTATAGTAATCTGGTTTTTTCTTCTAAATATCTGTAGACTTAGAAGTTTGTTTGTGAAAGTATTGTTGAACTCATTGAGTTTTGTAGTATCGAACGCCCATATAAAACTCATGTAGTCATGCTTATCTAACTATTCACTGGATTTGTTTTAGCTTGGTTAACATCAGAAAATGATTTGAAGCTAAATTATTTCCTGCCCTTAATTTTTTACGTCTTAAATGAACCTTGCAAAGTTCTTATTGATGTTGAATGTGGTGGTTGATTCGGTTCTGTGTAGTGTGTAGTTTCGCTTATGCGTTTATAAGTAAGAGTAGTAGTGCCATTCATAATCATTGTTGTTAAAAGTACATAAATTTACAAATCTCTTACCATTGTGTTGCCTTTCTCCCCAGTCCACATATCATCCCGTGATACCTTCATATTCGGTGTTGTTTAGTCTAACCTAGATGATCGGATTCTTCATCCTATATATATATATATATATATATATATATGTATATATTATATATATATATATATATATATATATATATATATATATATATATGTCGGTCAGATATTTTCCAAGGGGAATTTCTCTACGATGAACTGCAATTTCGCCTCTAAAGAAGTTATTATTTTCAATTTCATTTTATAATATTTTAATTGTTATTAACACTACTGTTTATGATTATCAGTAGTTTATAAATTTCCTCTTCTTGTTTTCTTTCTACAACTCATTAAGACATACGTTCTCAATTGGATACAATTAATCGAGCATATGATTTACAAACAGAAGTAGTCAATCAATTACAAACAAAAATGTCCATACTGGAAGAGAATATTACTGCGAAAAGTAAACAATTATTAAATTTAGAAAATTCATTAAATCAACAACAAGAACAAAAGGTAATTGTATAGGTTATGATTATGATAATCATAATCATAATAAGTTAACATGTTTGTTTTTTTTAAAATTCTGAGTGATGATATTTGCGATCTAGTTCAATCAATTCTTAGTCGTATACTTTTTCACTGATGTCTACAATTCCTTGACCGTAGCTGCCATCTTGACGAGGTGGTCGGGTTTGCCTATCGTGATAGTTATAGACTACCTGCTTATGTGTCACCGATGGTTAGATACTTTGAGCGACATGGCTCAAAATCGTGTACAATGGCGCAGGTACAACCACTGTTTGTGTTCTCTCAAATTCTAATCTTCTGAATTGCTCATCATTTCCATCTTTCTCTTTTTAAAGTTATCTCAATGAATTATAGTTCAGTCCGTTCTACTTTATGGCTGTGAAACATGGCAAGTCAAAGTAGAAGATATTCGTAGGTCATTGGTTTTCGATCATAGGTGCCTCCGAAACATTGTTCGTGTATCCTAGGACAACTGAGTAAACAATGCTGTTGTTAGGAAACGGGTTCTAGGTAGGGATGGCAAATCAATAGATGAAGTATTGAAACTTCATCAGTTGAGGTGGTTGGGACATGTGTTACGTATGACTAACCAACGACTTCTGCGACGAGCTATGTTTTGTGGTGTAGGAGTAGATTGGAAGAAAGCTAGGGCGGCCAGACCAAAACATGGCACAAATCTATGAAGTCACTGACTAGTGGACTGAGCCATGTTGGTAGATGTAGGCTATCCGGTTGCGGTCCGCGAGATGAAAGTCACCGATGGTTAGAGACCTTGAAAGACATAGCTCATAATCGTTTGCAATGGCGTAGGTGTATCCACTGTTTGTGTTCTTTGAAATTCTAATCTTGTCAGTGTAATAGACATTGCAACTGTCATTAAATGAACAAAATTTGAAATTTCATCGTCGTCATAAATTCATCTGTTCAGTTTTACTCAGTTTTAGCAAATCTCTTATTAAATTATTCTATTTGTTGCATCATGTTTTACATGCTGTATCGTTCTAAATAAAGAACGTTTTAGGTGATACATGACTACTACTTCAATGGGCTATGTTGTCTAGTTGTTAAAGTGAATAGGTTGTTTGAAAGCTAGAGCGATAAAAAAGACATAGCACCAATTGATGAAGTCATTGACAACTGAACTGAGCCATGTCAATAGATGCAGATCACCTGGTTTGGTCCTCGAGACAATCGTAACTTGTAATTATAAAGACTTAGAATGATATGACTGTAAATTGTTTGAAATAGCGCAAATGCATCGATCCTTTGTGTTGCTGCAAACTGTAATCTGAATTCCTCATAACTTTCTTCTCCTTTCTTAAAATTTATTTCACTGGTTTATATTTTATTGCATCATATCTTTGATCCTGAGGGCGAAGTCGTACTGCTGACTGCAGAGGGGTGTGACAGCAGTAAGGTGTTTCCCTCGGACAACCAGCATCTGCAGCGATGCTGCATTCTCACAAGGAACGAAAAGGATTTGAAAAGGTCGACCCTAAAAATGTCACACCTCACCTTACCTCACGGATTTCCGTCTCTGGAGGTAAGGGCTCCCCACTAAGGGCTTTTAAAAAGAGCGGAGCTAATACTCAAAAAATCTTTCATAAAAAGTCTGTGCGTGACCGGCCTCAAACAGTTGTCCATTGGGCTATACTATCAAGCTAGCAGGTCGTTGAGAACAACACTAATCTACCTTCCTTTTCAGGTCTCTCATGAAAACACTCATCCACGGTGTGGTTAGCTGGGATGTGACATCCAGCGTCACACTCGTAACCTGTAAAAATCTTCGATCTTGAATCCTTTTCATCATCGATAATATTGCTACCACCTCGACCACTACGGGATTTGAATCGATAATTCTATTTGTTTGTGTTAATGCAGTATGTCAATTTGAACTGATATACGATATGTACACCGAATTCTACGTTGCAACTGACTCACTGACTGAAATGAAACATATTCAATTCAATTTGAATAGACTATACACAGTTGATTAAACTATTCTCTGCTCTGTTTATATATTTAGACACAATTACTAGAAAAATCAGAACAACATTGTCGTAATATAGAAAATTTAGAGAAACATTTAACTTCAAATACGGAAGAATTAAATAAAGCCAATGAAATTATTAAACGTTTACAAAATGAAGTGAAAAGTTTACAATCAAAGGTAATGACAATTTGTTTTTTTTTTGAGGAATTAGTTACAGTAATCATAAAATACGTGTGATTATCATTATAAGTTACTACTTACTTACTTAAGCCTGTTACCCCCACCAAATGGAGCATAGGCCACCGACCAGTTTTCTCCAACCAACTATGTCCTGGGCTTTCCTCTCCAGTTCCGTCCAATGTTTGTTCATTCCTCTCATATCTTTCTCTATTTCTCGGCGTAATATGTTCCTTGACCTCCATCTTTTCCTTTTGCCTTGAGAGTCCCAAGTGAGGGCTTGTCTCGTGACGCAGTTAGGTGCCTTTCGTAGTGTGTGTCCTATCCACTTCCACCGCTTCTTCTTGATTTCCTCCTCCACTGGAATCTGGTTTGTTTTCTCCCACATTGGGTTGTTACTGATAGTGTCTGACCAACGAATCCGAAGTATTTTGCATAGAAAAGTGTTAATAAACACTTGTATCTTCTGGATGATGGCTTTCGTAGTTTTCCAAGTTCCCGCTCCATACAGTAGAACTGTCTTCACATTTGTATTGAAAATCCTGATTTTGGTGTTGATTGATATTTGTATGGAGTTCCAGATATTTTTCAATTGTAGAAATGCGACCCTTGCTTTTCCGATCCTCGCTCTCACATCTACATCGGGTCTACCTTGATTTTCGATGATGCTGCCAAGATATGAAAAGGTGTTAACGTCCTACAAGGCATCTCCATCAAGAGTGATTTGGTTGGCGCACGTTGTGTTGTATCGTAGAATCTAGCTTTTCCCTTTATGTGTGTTGAGACCTACTGCTGCAGAGGTTGCTGCTACACTGGTCGTCTTCTCTTGCATTTGTTGTTGCGTGTGCGATAGAAGAGCCAGGTCATCTGCGAAGTCCAGATCGTCCAGCTGCATACTAGCTGTCCATTGGTTACCGTGCTTCCCTACAGATGTTGGCGTCTTCACAATCCAGTCGATGACCAGCAGAAAGAGAAGGGGTGAGAGAAAGCAACCTTGTCTGACACCAGTCTTCACCTCGAAAGAGTCTGTCAGCTGACCTCCGTGCACGATTATGCAGTCTAATCCATAATCATAATTCCCCATGATGCTGACTATCTTCTCAGACACGCCGTAGTGTCGAAGAAGGCTCCATGCTGTTGTACATTCCACGCTACCGAATGCTTTCTCGTAGTCAATGAAAAAGCATTCGATAGCAATTCGATAACAATACACAGTAATCATTATGTTATATCATTATTTAGCGGATGAATTACTTGCTCTCTCGACTCATACCATTACAGCTGATCAGAAGAAGAACAGCTTTGCTGTCATAACCAAATCAGAATTGAATTTATTATATGTCTCTCATAGTACCCAGCTAAAACCTATTGCTTAGTATATTCTCTGACAACAATACACTCGATAAGTCTTCAAATCAGAACACGGTTGAACAGGGAAAAGATTATATTCCAAATAGCAAGGTTAAATGTAAGTAAGAAACCGAAGCGAAAGCCAAATAGGGAATAACGTTAGTATCTTTATAGTTTTTACATGAGCAGCTTCTGGAATGTATTCCACGTGTTGATTAATGCTGATCGAATCAGATTTAACCAATCAGCATGCAGCTAACAACACGAGAATTTTCTAGAATGCTCTCCAAGTATTGACCAGATGCTGATTGGATAGGAATTAGCCAATCAGCGCGCAGTTAACGCAGTCATGCTTTAATCCATCTATATCCCGCCAACAGAAATTATCATTTGTTTAGCTTTCATTGTGAGCTGTCAAGAAAAAATATGATTGGGGTTTTATGATATTACCATTTAGAACAATTTAACTGCAACTGGAATATTTCAGTCGATCACAATTAATAATACACTTAAAAATTTGTTTTTCTATGTAAACATTTCTATACCGGCTGTTTTTTTTCTCATTGCTTAGGCTAAATTACGTGGTCAAGTAGCCATGGAACAAGAACGTTTATTAGTTTCAAAAGACACTGAAATCCGAACACTACGAGCTAAATTAGATAAGCTAGAAGCAGAAATCACAAATGTTAAAAAACAAAATACTCAGTTAGTTGAAGAGCATAATCAAACCGTCCAAAATTTAGAAGATGCTGAGAAAACAATTAAGTCGAATGAAACAAGTAAGTTTTGTGAGAGAGATTGATTACGATGTACAAAAAAAAATGTGCTTCGTTGTCAATCGAATGAATCGTATGTATATGTCTGGCGGCACCGTCCAGGCTGTCGTATACCGCCTTCGCCTCACCTACCCGCAGCGTCCCCAGCACCGCCAACACCGCCCCGGGCCCCTTTCTACCCACCAGCTCCACCGCGGCCTCAAACTCCTCCAGGGAGCTCCGCAAATCTCCGTCCTCCAACTCCTTCGAGCAGGCAGCGACACCAAATGTAGTGAACGAGAACACAGGTGGGGCAGCCGGATTGTATTTAACGAAAATTACAGAGTTACTCAGTAAAATAGGAAAACCATATCGTAAATCGTTAATTTGCAAAATATCAGTCCATCATATCGAACTGGACTGTTCCTGTTGCAAAACATCAATCCATTGTCACTATTCATGCGTTTCATACAAATTCCATTGTGTTCTAACGCTTCCTTTCTTGATCTTCCCCCATCTTCTGCTGCCAGATATTACGTTGACACTCACCTCATATACTACTTATAAGTAGCTCGCACCACAAATCGAATGAATTGTATGTATATTGATAGTCTGTGGTGTGTGTTGCAGTGGTTCATTTTTGTTGTTTTAACTGATTTTATTATACAAAATAATGTTTACTGAATTCCTCATCAGCTGGACGTCGCAGATTACCTGGCTCTTGTATCGCACACGCAAAAACAAATGCAAGAGAAGACGACCAGTGTAGCAGTAGCCTCTGCAGCAGCAGGTCACAGCATGCTTAAAGGAAAAAACAAAATTCTCCGATGCAACACAACATGTACCAACCAAATCACTCTTCATGGAGATGCCTTGGAGGACGTTACCACCTTTACATAACTGGGCAGCATTATCGACGAGAAAGGTGGAACCGATGCAGATGTGAGGGCATGGATTGGCAAAGCGAGGGCTGCATTTCTACAGTTGAAAAATATCTGGAACTCCAAACAACTTTCAAACAAAACCAAAATCATCATTTTCAATACAAATGTGAAGACAGTTCTACTGTATGGAGCGGAAACTTGGAGAACTACGAAAGGCATCATCCAGAAGATACAAGTGTTTATTAACAGTTGTCTATGCAAAATACTTCGTATTCGTTGGCCAGACACCATCAGCAACAACGAACTGTGGGAGGAGGAAATCAGGAAGAAGCGGTGGAAGTGGATAGGGCGCACACTACGAAAAGCACCTAACTGCGTCACGAGACAAGCTCTCATATGGAACCCCTCAAGGCAAAAGGAAAAGAGGAAGGCCAAGGAATACATTACACCGATAAATAAAGAAAGATATGAGAGGAATGAACAAACATTGGACAGAATCGGAAAGGGAAGCCCAGGACAGAGTTGGTTGGAGAAATCTGGTGGGCGGTCTATGCTCCATGGGGGGGGGGTCAACAGGCGTAAGTAAGTAAGTAATGATGATTTGCAGAAGACAACGTTATTTGACAATTAATCTTTTGGCATAATAACAAAGCTTTTTTACTAAGAGCATCATCAAACCAGTAGATTAGTGTCTCATTGAAGAATCGTTTTGATTGTATTAAAACTATGATAACTCTTTAATTTTACCTAAATATTTTGCAGTTATCGCTTGGTTGAATCGACAGATTGCCGAGAATGATTCGGGTTATGTACAAAATCGTTTGAAGTTGTCAGCTTTTCCAGTAATCAGTATGCCTTCTGGAGTAATTGATTCCCTTACTACGAATAATACAATTGCCTCTCCTAGAAATGATAAATCCTCAGCATTGGAAAATATTCCTTCACGTGTATCATTAACGCCACATTCACAAGCTTCTCATATGGTCCCTTTACTTAACACACATACTCCAGTCACAGTGTCCTCCTCTACAAATACCAACAATACCTTACAAACAGTTGATAAAAAGCTGTTAGATCTACCCACCAGTTCGAAAAGTGTTCCTTCTGGAATAATGGATAACATGGTAAGGATAATTTTATTTATTGTGTACTGACTGGTAAGATAAATTACATTCATGTATAATATTTGTCCTCGTACCGTATTCACGCTCTCCTTTTTGCAACAATCAGGTCTCTCTCTTTATTTGTCATATTTCATTGAGAATGGGTTTCAATATTTTCTTATGAGTATCACCTTTCAGCGGGTACATTAGAAGAGCATTTGAGACGCATGCAGTTTGTATGTCGCTCGCTCATAGGCCAACAAAATGAATAGCTTGTCTTCTTCAGGTATATTATGACTTGTCATATTTAACCTATGAAACTATGTGGGGTCATTTTTGTAGGTTTCGTCACTAGGTACGCTTGAAGCTATTACGAGTTCACCTTAGTCGATAAATGCGAACGAGACAATTACCAGCGTCCAGATAGGCTACCTTGAATCCCAAGCTGAAGATAAAAGGCTTTGTAAGCGTAGAAAGTATATTCTACAAACACCCAGCAAGCACAATACAATCACGCACACAAATCTCGTTTATTTATACATCATAGAAACGTCCTTGGGACAGTCACAAAAATAGCACACCAAAATAAACATCAGGCAATCACAGCCATGGATTTTCCTGGTGGGAAGTGAAATCTCAGGGTCAAGTGATCAGTCCATGCTGGCAAATCCAAAATAAGGCATTTATCAAGCGAGTTATGGGGATCTAACATCCCCAACAATATTGTGTCAACATTATTGGAACAGTGAATGAATACATTTACGTGGTTAGTATCTGTTATAATTCTCTCTTAGTAAACCCCAGCTGATTCCTATTGCTTAGTACATTCTCTGACAACAATACACTCGACATGTCCGCAAATCAGAACACGGTTGAACAGGAAAAAGATTTATATTATAAATACCAAGGTTAAATGAAATTAAGAAACCGAAGCAAAGACCAAACAGGATACGACGTTAGTATCTTTATAGTTTTTACATGAGAAGCTTCTGGAATATACCCCAAGTATCGGCCATACGCTGATTGGATAGGAGTTAGCCAATCAGAGCGCAGCTAACACAGTCATGATTTAATCCATCTATATCCCGCTTACAGTATCTGATTTGGCTTTTTTGGCAGATCATGTTCCCATTCCTTGTACACTTTGAAATCCCATAAAATTGAATGAACTTTTGTATCGTCACTATCTAATTAACGAAGAGGGAGGGGTGTACATCATTATTTTGATTTCGTCGCCACATGATCTGATCTGTAATAATTAAAACACTGTGGCATTAATTTTGTCTCGTTGGTCTGTTTGTGCATTTAAAAGACTAATTAGGCGAATCGGTTGGAAACGCAAGTGACTTCAAGCGGATTTGGAAGTGAAAGTACTTCCTGGAATTCATGACTATGGTGTTTTGGTCGAATTTAAAGTATCTTTAAGTGCATCTTGTTATATCTGTATTTGGAGTTACTATCACTCAGTCAGTCAGTTACATGGTAGAACTTCGTACGTACATACATCAGTTCAGGTTGCCATACCGCATTAGCACAGAGACGCAACTATCAGTTCAAATCCAATAGTGGTAGCAATAGTAGAAGTATTAGCAGTAATGGAGAAGATTAGGTAGCGAAGATATGATTCGAGAAGTATAATTCAGTAAAATAAATTTAGAGAGAGAGAAATAGAGATGATGAGGAATTTAGAAGATTAGAATTTGAGAGAACACAAAGAGTGGATGCATCGGCGCCATCGCAAATGACTTTGAGCCATGTCATTCAAGGTCTCTAACCATCGGTTACTTTCGTCTCGCGGACTCCAACCAGATAGCCTACATGGCTCAGTTCACTTGTTAGATATTTCATGAATTACTGCCATGTTTTGGTTTATTTGGAATTACAATACTGGTGTATGATGATATGTGATTTTCATCATGATTGATTCTTTGTGAATTTTATTTAGTAGTAACTTGTAGGTGGTAGTGGCTTAAGTTTTAATAATTTAATCTACTGAGTGCATAGAGATTTTTAATCGTTTAATATTACTGACATTTTTATTCAGTAGTCAGTCAGTGGATGAGTTTTATAAATTGTTGGTGTTCACCATCACAACTTTTTGGATTGTTGCAACCCGACCGTGGCTGCTACCTTGACGTGGTGGTCGGGCTTGCCTATCGTGATGATCCAACCGAGCTATACTGGCTGGAACATATGTTCCTGCAGGTCCTACCATGCCAGACAGGTCGATTGGAGAACGATGAGACTAAAAGCAGCTACCCAAGGTCTGAGGGCGAAGTCGTACTGCTGACTGCAGAGGGGTGTGACAGCAGTAAGGTGTTTCCCTTGGACAACCAGCATCTGCAGCGATGCTGCCTTCTCACAAGGAAGGAAGGGTTAGAAAAGGTCGGCCCTAAAAATGTCACACCTCCCCTAACTCACGGATTTCCGTCTCCTTGGGTAAGGGTGCCCACTAAGGGCCTTTAAGAACGGAGCTAATCCTCTAAATACCTTTCATAAAAAGGCCGTGCGTGACCGGCCTCAAGTAGTTGTCCCTTGGACTCTGCGGTCACGCACCAACACTAATCTATTTTCCTTTTCAGGTTCGTCAAGAAACAACCTTCCACGGTGTGGGCAGCCTGGAAGTGACAACCGCCCTCATACCCATAACAGCACGCGAGACCGAATTGGTCAAAATCAAATCCTTCCTACACCCCCTAATGTCTCTCTTATCTCCACGACTAACTCTTCTTACATTCATTCATCACATTGCACAGCTAATGCAGACGATACGAGTTCGCGAAACGTCGTTCCGGGTCTCCTTAAACCTCGCTCTAGACTACATGTTGGAGCATTTAATGTACGGACATTGTGTCAAATAGGGCAACAGGCTTCCTTAGCTATGACTTTAGAATCTCGTGCCATCGATGTATGCTGCGTCTCGGAAACGCGCATACAGGATCCGAGTCACGTCATACACTTGACCACACCATGTCAAAATAAAGAAGCAGCTCGATTTACTCTTCGTGTATCCGGTAGCCCTGATGCTGCTTCCCGGGGTCTTGCTGGCGTAGGCATAGCATTGAGTCGTAGGGCAGAACAATCTCTCCTTGACTGGATCCCAATAGATAGTCGATTGTGCGCTGTCCGACTAAACGGGACAGTAAGGACTCGGAAAGATAGGGACAATCGCCGTTGCCTCTTCATCGTATCTGCCTATGCCCCCACTGAATGCAGTTCAGACGAGGTTAAGGATGAGTTTTACAGAAAGCTTTCGGACCTCCTCCAAAAAGCTAGGCGCTCTGATATAGTAATAATGGCTGGTGACTTTAATGCTCAAGTAGGTAGACTAAGTGAGCAGGAGAGACACCTAAGTGGATGTTATGGTGTCGCGGCTCAGAGAAC